GCACCAGGTGCCAGGCAGGCAGAGTGACTAGGGTCACAATGGCAGGGATGGCAGCGGTAGCAGTCAGCCAGTCACCTGGGATCCAAGGGCTGCCATCTCAGGAACAGCCCACAGAAGTGCAGGGTACCTGACAGCCCCAGGAGTGGCGTGCCAGCCTTGAGTCCCAAACACCATCCTGCCCACAGGCAAGCAAGTGCCACCTGTTCCTTTCACACCAGCTTCCCTGGGCACCCTTGCCATGGAAGGCAGGAATCCAGAGGAATGGGGCCATTTGGCCACATTCTAGAAACTGGTGTTTGTTCTGAACAGGCAGTACCCAGCTCAGAGCAGACGTAGTTCTCAGTGGCTGCCGGGCACAGGCTTGAGTCTGTGCACGGAGATGCTATTATGAGCTGCTGTCAGGTTCTCAAGCTGGCCGACAAAACCCATTTATCACAAGTCCCTTGCATGCACAGCCTCGCTCCTGGGCAAAACATTTGGCCACAGGGACCACGTCACAGACCCTGGAAGCCACATAGTGGCCACCAAATGCCACCACATTTCCCCACTCAATGCCTAGTCGCCCCATAAGGCAGGAAACATTCCCGCTACATGTGGACCAGCTATGTGACCCAAGCAAGTTCACTGACACTCTAGACCTTGCTCTCCTCCTCTGTAAAGTGGGGACAACAGTGTCTATGGTTATGAGGTTGTTGGGAACACTGAAGGGATCAAAACCCATAAGCAGGTGCCGCCAAAAGCACCATGGTTACAGCACCAGCCACATGCACCGAGGCTGGCAGGTTTGAACCCAGCCCAGGCCTGCTAAACAACAATGGCAACTGCAACAAAAAAATAGCAGGTGCCTGTAGTCTCACTTACTTGGGAGGCTGAGGCAAGAGAATCACTTAAGCCCACGAGTTGGAGGTTGCTGCAAGCTGTGATGCCACGGCACTCTACCCAGGGGAACATAATAAGACTGACTCTCAAAACAAACAAACAAACAAATAAAACCATCCATAAGCATGTGAAAGACATGAAAGCACCTGGCAGACAGCACTCAAGGTGAAAGGTACACACAACACTCCTCCTCAATCTTCTAGAGCACAGCACCTACCCGGCTCTGGCACCTCCTTCATAATTCTCATTCCTCTTCCTGACCAGTTCTCATCAAGTGTCCTTCCTGGTCCCATCTGTGGGTTCCTCTGGCTCCACAGGCAAAAGCCACCTACAAGCTGAGGATTCCAGCGCACCCCCTGCCTGCCGGGGCAGGGAGGGGCACTTAACCACTCGAGGTGTAACCTGCAGTATGTACCCCGCACCTTCTAGTGCTCTGGCCTTTTATACTATGTGAATGCAGGACTTTCTTTTACTTTTGATTTCTGCTTTTACAGATCCCTATGAAAGTTTTGAGAAAGACAGTATTATGGCCCATTATTTCACTTCCAGGAAACAGTTGACAGCATCCTTTCTCATTCTCCCTTGCAAGTTTCAAATTGTTTGGCTTATCAGTGTTGCTGGGAGGGCTTCATTTGTTTCTCTCCATGTGGATTTTACATTTCTGGATTTTTGTGTATCTCGCAACTTTCGTCATGACCCAAGTATCGAACACTCCCTGAACTCAGGAGCAGGTCGAGGTTTCATGGGTTGGTGAGAAAACAAAAAGCTGATGGGGAGACGAACAGATGCAGTGAGAGCTCAGTCCAAAGTCCAGTACAGTTGGAGCTCCGTGCTCTCGTGGGCTTCTTGCATAAGGGAAACATTTCCCAATCAAAAGAAGCAAACATGGGCGGTGTCTGTGGCTCACTGAGTAGGGTGCCGGCCCCATATACCGAGGGTGGCAGGTTCAAACCCGGCCCCAGTCAAACTGTAACAACAAAAAAAATAGCTAGGCGTTGTGGTGCCTGTAGTCCCAGTTACTCAAGAGGCTGAGGCAAGAGAATAGCCTAAGCCCAAGAGCTGGAGGGTTCTGTGAGCTGTGATGCCACGGCACTCTACTGAGGGTGATAAAGTGAGATTCTGTCTCTTAAAAAAAAAAGAAGCAAATAGGGTGACAAGGAGCAGATCATCTCAGGGGCTCTGGTTCGCTCAGTGTACTTTTGTACTTTGTGGTCTACATGCAGCTCCTCACCACACCCTCAGGGAAAACAGGAGATGAGGGAGAAGCCACTAGAGAGAGGCTACCCAGTGAGAAGAGGGGGCTGTGTGGAGTGGCTGAAGAGGAGGAAGAAGGGGGGAGAGAGAAGAGGGGAGGAGGACAGCTTCCACCACCACCACCCCGGTTAGAAAGGCTCTGAAAAGGAGGCGGTGAAGGGGACTGACCACTGTGTTAAGAGCCCACACATTCAGCTACACACAGTGATGTTTTTCTTTAATCCAAAAAGAGAGCCCAAAATTTCAATGACTAAAAGGGGGACTGTGAAAAGCTGGCATCCAAGATCTCAGAGTAGCCACAGTTGGGATGCCTGGGCTAAAGCTTGGGTGCTGCCCCTCCCACATCTAGGTGCTGGCTCAACAGGGAAGGAAAAACAGAAGCTTCACACAATCTGCTCTGCCATTTGGAAGGGCTGGGTTCTGTCCCAGGCTTCTCGCCCCAGCATCAGCGGGAGCCCCATGAGGGAGGCACTCTGCCTGGCAGCAAAGTGCTCCACCACTCCCACTCAGACTGGCTGTTTCTCCCTATGCCCAAGCCTTCCACGAGCATGGGGAGATTTTACAAAGGACACGCTTATCTCCACTCTGTACTGTTTGCGGGTCAAGGTCTAGGTAAAATGCAGCTGCTCCTCTGAGCTTCCACAGCCTCATCTGTGAAATGGGGATGCTGGTGGCACCAGGCTCAGGGTCCTGGACCTCAGCAGAGGCACAAAAGTGAACACTAACCACTCTGGGTACAGGCTTCCTGTTCCCCACATTGCCTCACTCACTCACACCCCAGCGAGGGACTGGTAGAAAGCAGCTGATTTTCCCAGGCCTCCTCCCTGCCTATCCCTGTCTCTCCAACCTGAGTTCCTCGGGGTGCTGGGTTGGACATCCTCACTACATTTGGGGTAATTTTTCTCTTTTTTTCTTTTTTTTTAGAGACAGAGTCTTACTTTATTGCCCTCGGTAGAGTGCCGTGGCGTCACAGCTCACAGCACCTCTAGCTTTGGGCTTAGGCGATTCTCTTGCCTCAGCCTCCCAAGCAGCTGGGACTACAAGCACCCGCCACAATGCCCGGCTATTTTTTGGTTGCAGTTTGGCCATGGCCAGGTTTGAACCCACCACCCTCAGTATGTGGGGCTGGTGCCCTACTCACTGAGCCACAGGCGCCACCCTAGGGTAATTTTTTTTTTTTTTTGAGACAGGGTCTCACTTTTGTCACCCTTGGTAGAGTGCTTTGGCATCACAGCTCACAGCAATCTCAAACTCTTGGGCTCAAGTGATCCTCTTGCCTCAGCCTCCCAAGTAGCTAGGACTATAGGGACCTACCACAACACCTGGTTCTTTTCTTTCTTTTTTTTTAAGGTTTTTGGCTAGGGCTGGGTTTGAACCCACCACCTCTGGCATATGGGGCTGGTGCCTTACTCCTTTGAGCCGCAGGTGCCTCCCTGGGTAATTTTTCAAGATCAGATCTATCTGCCAAGATTTCAAACACATCTGAAGTTAACAAATTCTTACCCTTTAAATACTGAGACCTCAGGAGAACACACTTCCCCCCCCCCAAGGCATAATGGTAAATCTATTTCCTCCTTGGTTTTCCAAAGGCTCCAGAGATAGCCAGGGATTGTGGTGGGCACCTGTAGTTCCAGCTACTCGGGAGGCTGAGGCAAGAGAATTGCTTAAGCCCAAGAGTTGGAAGTTGCTGTGAGCTGCGACACCACAGCACTCTACTGAGGACAACATAGTAAGACTGTCTCAAAAAAAATAAAAGGCTCCAGAGGCCACGGGTTCCACTTCCTTCCACTCCCTCAGACAGGTCTTGCCACCCTTCTCTCTGCCCTATCTCCTCCCAGGAATTTGTGCTCCAAACTGTCTCTCTAACCTGTCTCTCCAGTCAACACCATGGTCAAAACCCTGCAGCACCTCTGCCCACCTGCCCACCTCCCCACTCTGTCCTGGACACTCAGAACTCACTACCCTTTCGGCGTATTTTAAGCTTCTGGGGCTTCTGCACATGCTGCTCACTATTCCAGAAAGCCCTGATGCTGCATCCCCTGGCAAACTCCTACACAACCTTCAAAAATCACAAAGTTGGGACTCATATCCCAGAGGAGCCTCCAAAATCAAAACAAACAAACAAACAAAAAAAATCACAAAGTTAGGTCAGAAAACTATGGATTCAGGCTCGGCACCTGTGGCTCAAGTGGCTAAGGCGCCAGCCACATACACCTAAGGTGGTGGGTTCGAATCCAGCCCGGGCCTGCCAAACAACAATGACAGCTGCAACCAAAAAATAGCTGGGCGCTGTGGTGGGCGCCTGTGGTCCCAGCTACTTGGGAGGCGGAGGCAGGAGACTCGTTTGAGCCCAGGAGTTGGAGGTTGCTGTGAGCTGTGATGCCATAGAACTCTACCCAGGGGGACAGCTTGAGGCTCTGTCTCAAAAAAAAAAAGAAAACTATGGGTTCAAATCCTAACTCTCCACTTACCAGCTCTGCTGCAAAGGAACAATATATCCATCTCACAGGACTATTATGAGGCTTAAATAAGATTACATGCAATAGCAGCACTGTATTTACCATTCAAATAATCATAAGAAATAAAGAGGACATTAAGCTCAGGTACCCACTCCCTATACCCCACTGGAGTTCCATCAGATTGCCACATTCCCCTGATCACCCATGAGTCCCATCTTGCACACAGGAGACCGAGACCCCTGCCTCTGGGCTCCAAGACAGGCCCACATCAGTCCATACCTAAGCTCCACACCAGCAGGCCCACAGCCCCTCAGGCAAACCCAAGGGGGCTACTCACTTCCTGCCTGCCAGCCTCTACAGGCTCCAAAGAGCCAACAGAAGCCAAGGAGGTACCCACCAGCCCCTCACCTGAGGTCCTTCAGCTGCTTGCAGTGCTTCAGCATGTCTGAGAGGGCAGGCATGTAGACCACCTTGCCCATCATGCCCAGGTTGGCCAGCGAGAGGGACTGCAGCTGCTGGCACTGCAGGCCGATACTGACCAGCCCAGAGCCTGTCAGGACACTGGGCAGCTGGGCCAGTGTCAGGTGCCGCAGGAAGGCCAGTTGGCCAATGGCAGCCACCTCTGAGTCCCCAACGTTCTGTGCCCGGCTGCAGGGAGGGAGGGAGTTGCGGATGGCAGGCTCATTGCGCGGCATGGCAGAGGAGAAGTTGGACCCGATCAGCTCAAGGTGTTCCAGAAAAGGCAAGTTCTTCAGCAGAGACCAGAACACAGAGGAAGGCTGGGGGACCGTCTGGCCTAAGAAGGGGTTGGGGCAGGACTGCACACCTATGCGCACCTTCTTGCCAAAGCCTCGGGGCACAGCATGCATCACAGGCTGGGCAGGCACACGGTCTGCCCGAGGTGCTGAGTCAGCAACGGAGCAGACAGGCAGGGAGAGGGAGCGCAGGTGGCGCAGCCGGGACAGGAGCTGGCAGAGGTGCCTGCCCAGGCCCTCAGAACTATGGTGGTGGGCAGCCGAGAGATTCAGGTGCCGCAGGTTGCAGCAGGACACCACCAGCGTCTCTAGGATGCTGCTGTCAATGTCGTCCTCTGCCTTGCGGAGCAGAGAGTCCGGGGAGAGGCAGTGGACGCAGCCACTGAGGTTCAAGCTGGCCAGGCTCCGGAGGTCCTTGCCGCCATTGATGACCCGCTGGATCAGGTGGCCACCAGACAGGGTGCACCGGCTGAAGCTGAAGTAAAATGGGTTGTTGAACTTCATGTGCTGGAGGAGGGACGAGCCATTCAGCCAGGACTTGGGCAGCTGCAGGGCATCCAAGGCAACATTGCGGGCCATGGAATCCAAGAGGTTCTTGGTGGCCCCACTCTCAGCAAAGCTTCCAGGGACAGAGATAAGGAAGGCATGAAGGTTCTCAGGTGTGCGGTCGCTAAGCACAGCCAGGTATAGCCTCACCACCTCCTGGTTGATGTAGCCAGGTGCCAAACGGGCATAGAAGACCCGCAGGTTCTGGTAGTGGGGCACATTGCTCTGACCCACCATGAGCTGTCCTGAGAGGATAGCCCCCTCACGAGTGCGGTCCAGGATCTCGAAGTAGAGCAGCAGCTTCTCAAGGCTGATGCAGCAGGGTACCACGCCATAGGAAGGCGTGAACAATGTCTGCTTGAGCTCCCGAACTCGGCTCAGGGTGGCCTTGCACTCGCCACTCAGCTGACTGGCATCAAAGCCAGGACTGACATCAATGGCCAGTGAGCGCAGGTGCTGAAGGGCCGACAGCATCTTGGAGAGGCGCAGGGAAGTGAGGTGGCAGCCAGAGAGGTTTACCTTCACCAGGCTGCGGCAGCGGGCCACATGCTCCACAGTGGAGCCTGACAGCCAGTAGCAACCAGCCAGGCTCAGCTGCTGGATGTCCCGACCGATTTCCTTCACCAGTTGCTTCACCTTGTCCTCACTGGCCTGCAGGACAGGACAGGGCAGGGAGAGGAAGGAAAGGAGCTGAAGGCACCTGGGTGCCTCCTTTACCACACACACTCTACACCCCTCCCCACAACAGTCAAGGAGCTACAGGGGCACTGCTACAGCAAGGAGGAAAGGCAGCCCCCACCCCTTCCCACACGTTTAGCTCAAGCTAACAGTCAAGAGCGCCCCCTAGAAGGCAGTGGATGGTGATGCAGCCACAGTAGACTGTCAGGTGATTCCACAAGAGCCCCATGACAGGACAACGCCACGCCTAGGTACAAAACCAAAGGAACTATGGCTAGGACTCACACAGATATCCGCTCACCCAAGACCCATAATAACCCAATAATGGAAACCACCCAAACATCCATTAACAGACGAATAAACAAATAAAATGCAGTCTATCCATACAATGGAGTAAGTCTCATTCGACTACAAAAAAGAATCAAGTTCTGACACCCGCCACAATATGGACAAACTTCAAACACGATGCTCAGTGAAAGAAGTCAGGCACAAAAGTTCAATGCTGCATGATTCCATTGATGTGAGTGCCTACAACAGGCATATCCACAGAAACTGATGATAGAACAGAAGCTACCAGGCACCAGGGCAGAGGACAAGGGCAAGTTACTACTTAATGGTTCCAGTTTCAGATGATGGAAAAGTTCCAGAGATGGATGGTGGTAATAGTTATACAACAATGTGCAACATGCTATATAGCTACTGAACTACACACTTAAAAATAATTAAGATGATAATTTTTTTCAGTCACAATTTTTTTTTTTTT